TTGGGTACAAATCTTGGGGTTTTCACTTGTTGATGGTTGCATGTTGGAAATGAAGTTTTTTTCTTGATGCTTGATGAAAATTCTGGCTTTTGGATGGTTTGCATGTTGATTTCCTGGTGATTTTTGCAGGTTTTGATGAAATTTTCGAAGTGTTCCTGTTTGAATTTGCGCCGGGCGCAGTTCTTCGCGTCGGGCGTGAGTTGAAATGAGGAATCCCTAGGTGAATCATGGCGGGCGTGGATATATAGGACCACGCCGGGCTCACTATGCGCTGGGCGCAGGATGATTGAGCCGGGCGAAATATACCTTGGTAGGTCTTTGGTTGAGAATTGCGCCGGGCGTGATTTTATTGCGCCGGGCGTGTGTTTTTCTTTCAGATTTTGACTTTATAGTCTTCATAAAAGTTGTGGCCTTGGACGTTAGCTTTCCAATGGCGCTGAAATTACCCAAAAAGGAGTTTTAGAACTCTATATATGGCCGTTTTAGTGAAGAGGGGTCAAACTGCCAGCAATGCTTGTAGCTGTTGCGGTTTTTAGAATTTTTAACATGGTTAATGAAGGAATTAAGACTTTGTGTCTTCATGAGAGTTGTAAGAAATTTTATTATCTTTCATATGAGATAAGGATGAGCATGATAGAAGTATTATAACTCCTGATGCGCTGTTTTCTGTGATGGCTGCCATTTCACATTTAGTGATTTGGTTAAGTTGAAAGTTGTTTTAGGTGCCTAGATTGATTGGTGTCGTTTGGGTGGGAAATTTGACAAGATAGATGAGTTGTAAACAAGGTGGATGAGCCGTATTATGTGTAGGATATGCTGTATGTCGTATATGCTGTTAATGATGTAATGCTACGCTGTAATAGATATATATTGTCATGCTGAGTTGGGCTGTCATGGATGATTTTCATATTGAATTAAAATATTGTTGTACTATAGACTGTTGAGCTGAATGGTGAGTAGTAAGCTGTGTTGTATTCTACCTAGTTGGGCTAAATACTGATATTGGTGTGCTGCGCTGAGCGTGACCCTTGTCGTGCTGGGCGTGAGACTCCTTGGGAGTCTCTGCCTTGGGGCGCTGGGCGCAATTGGTATTGCGCCAGGCGTGAGTGAGCCTTGGGCTCTCTGGCTGGGTCCCGCCGGGCGCGGGTATGCTTGCGCTGGGCGCGCTGGCCCCATGGTGCTCTCTGGTTGCACTGCGCTGGGCGCAACCACGAGTGCGCCGGGCGCGGAGATGTGACTTCACTAGTGAATGTTAGAGGTTGTTTATGTTGAGTTTAAGTAGAAGCTGTTGATTATAATGTGATGACTTGTGGTTAACGCTGCTTGTTGATGTTGAGTTGTATCAGTTGTAAATTGTTGTAAGTTGATATGTTGAGTTGTATCAATTATAAATTGTTGTAAGTTGATATGTTGAGTTGTATCAATTATAAATAGTTGTAAGTTGATTATGTTGAGTTGTATCAGTTGTATATTGTTGTGAGTTGATATGTTGAGCTGTACAGTTGTGTTGTACTGTGTGTTGATATTGGATGTTGTAGGCCGAAAGGCTGAGGTGTGGTAGGAGATCTCCGAGTTGATATGCGTGACGACGCATTGTGTGCTTATTGCTGATTATGCTGTAAAATCGATGAGTTGTATGCTGATGATGTAAGATGTGTGTTGTTATGGCTGAATGTTGTGGTATTTTTAAACTGATTTTGTTAAGCTGATTGATGTGTTGATTTGATGTGCTGATAGGGGTAGTTGTTTACTATTCATATATTTATATATATATATATGTTATTTCTTTTCACTAGCTTACCCTTAGTTGTTTCCATGTGGTTTGGACTGCGATGATCATACTATGTATGGGAGCAGAACAGGGTTAGACTGGTGATAGTGGCAAGTCTGCAGCTGGCAAAGGGAGGAGTCTTGTTTGGAAGATGTTTGTTTGTTGGGCCACTATTTGGCTACTTTGATTGTATTTTGTTTGTACACTCTAACTCTAGTCGGATTGGAACGTTGTATATATTTATATTCTAGATCTTATATTTATATACTCGTTCTATTCTATCTAGTGTTTCCGGTGTGCTGTGATTGTAAGTGTAGTGACCGGCTGGATCGTTACATTAATTATAAGCAACAGAAAAAAAAATTTGTTGACCAAAAATATAATTTTGAGATCATTAGTATTCATTAACTGATAATTTTGTATTATATATATATATATATATATATAAAAAATATT